AAGGGCCAGAAGGCAGAAGGGGACAAGGAAGCTGGTGATAGGGAACCCAAGGTTGAGTAAGGATATTGTTGATGTGTTGTGAGATTGTTAACCATTGTCAAAGGGCAACATGTATAGTAACTGTTAAATAAGAAACTGTTTTGTTCTGTAAGGCTTCATCTTAAGTGAGAATAGCAGCACTATTGGAAGAGCTTAGTCGATGTCACTGAACTGTGCATGTAGAAATTTCTGAAATGGTGTATCTTTGGCTATGTGTATTTTCACCAAAAAAAAAGGCTGAGAAGTTAGAGGGTTGACATGTTGTGGGGTTGTTAACCAATGTCATAAAACAATATGTGTACTGCTGTTTCATGAGAAACTATTTGCTCTGTAAGCCTTCACCTGAAGTACAATTTAAAAAAAAAAAATGTGTCCCAAAAGTTGGATGATAATTTATATGGTCACCCCAATCAAGGCTCAGCCAGTCAGAGGTCTTTGAGCCACTTGAAGCCCACATGGTTTTCAGCCTCAGGGCTCCTTAGGGGGCTGTCTCTTGGGCAGATAACAGGGGCTCTGGGGCTTCCCTGTGGGCAGTAAATGGGGCAGTTAAAGTGACTCTGGGGCTGTCCCCAGGGCAGATAACAGAGGCTGTGGTCAACTTGATGTCCAGAGCCCCTTGGTTGTGTCCTGGTTGCGTGGATCAAGCCTCGCAGGGATGGCTCAGCACTTCGGGGGAGGGACGAATTTGGTACTTCATATTTTTTCGGTCACTGTTTTATAAATTCCCACCCCAGTTTTGAGACAGCGTGGTTGAGCTAAGAATCATCGGCTCACAGGGCTTGTAGGGAAACTGCCCATTGGGTAGGCGTGAGGGTTGCCACGGGGGCTGAGCCTTTGTTCCCCGAGCCACTGCCCAGGGTGGAGTGCTGCCTGGACACGCTGCAGAGAAGGGTGGGGGGCCCAGTGCAGCACAAACACTACTCCCCCGCCGCGGGGCTCCTCCTGAGCCCCTCCCTCTCCAGGCTCCCCAGTCTGCCAGCAGTGAGTTAGAAGGAAGGAGCCAGAACCAACAGCAACGCCCACAGCAGACGTTCCAGCCCATCTTCATTAGAAGAAACATAAGCCCCTTTTGTCTTTCCAGCCCCCCTCCAGAGGTGGTGTTTGTGGAGGATTTAGAGGACTGGCAGTTCTGCTTGTAAAGTCCCCCAGCAACCCCTCCTCCCCGCCCCCGACTTCTTTCACCAGACAGAGAGGGCTGTCCTGGTGCCTGGGAGGTGGGGGGAAGGTGAGGGTGTGGTGCCTGGGAGGTGGGGGGAAGGTGAGGGTCTGGTGCCTGAGAGGTGGGGGAAGGTGAGGGT